CTCCCCTTCTCTCTCTCCCCTGAATTCACTCTCTCTGGATAACAGAAATGAGAGGGAAGCTCCATTTAAATGCAGATTTCCCATGTTGGCCAAGAGCAACAAATAGCCCTGTGCTGCACCGATCACACAAACATTATCAGGTCTCTTTGTGAAGGAGGTTTGATGTTTTCAGATTTTCCTTTTCCTTGATGAGATCCTCTTCCCTCTCAGAGTAATAGCGCCTTGACGACTTTTTATTTTATTTTTAAGCAGCACTTCAGAGGTTATAATGGAAACACAACCCCACCTGTTCCTCCACTGGAGCTCCACTTGACAGCCCTGTAATGAGGAACTGTGCAAATTCCTTCTCCTCTGCTGTATTGACAGCCTGAAGGGTTGATACCGTATTCAGCAGAGGGGAAAAGGACAAAATAAGGCAATTTTGCAACAGTTTTTTAATCACCTGACCCTGCAGCCTCGTGGTTTTGGGGGCAGTTTGGGGTTCATGATGTGAGGAGGGTCTCCAATGGTGCAGGATATGCAGGTGGCTGAGGAAGAGGAAAAGGAGGAAGGGGAGATGTGGGGGTCAGGTTGGACATCAGGAGGAGTTTCCTCGTGGGAAAGGGTTTTCAGGCATTGGAAGGGGCTGCCCAGGGAGGTTTGGAGTGCCCATCCCTGGAGGTGGCTCTCAGTGCTCTGGGCTGGGGGACAAGGTGGGGATGGGTCCCAGGGGGGACTCGATGATCCTGGAGGGCTTTTCCAACCTTGATGATTCCATGAGTGTGTTTACAGGATAAATCAGAAGAGGTTGTAGATGTGCTCTTAACCTGTCACCTGAGAAATATTGCAGACAGCTTTATATCTTTTTAACTTGGAGGGACAGGTTACAAACAGTGAAATATGTTTACTAAGCCAGTGCTTTGCCAAATCTGCATCTTCAAGAGATGCATTGAGATGGAAACTGTGTTTCTGAGTATGACTTCACATCTCAAAGGTATGAAAAGCATCTGAGAAAAACGTAAATAAAAAATGATAGTGTTAACAGGGAAAGGTCAGCTGAGCACAGTTTGTTGTAGCAGTGTCTAAATCTCCTGCTAGCATCTGTTCCCTGTTATTGTTATAAAAATGCTACTTCATTAGATCCTGCTTGAATCATGAATTAAGGAGTGATGTTGCAGCAAAACCTGCAGTGGGATGAGGCTTGTCAGGGTGCATCTGTTGAGCCTTGGCTGGTGGCTCTGAGGAGCCACATGGCTCGGGGGGACAGGGGGATGGAGCCTTTCTGCTTTCTTAGCCCTGCTTGAGAGCCAGCTGAGGGTGGAAAGGATTGAATTCTGGTGCTGCCTGCAGCCTGGCTGCTGCAGGGGCTCGGGGGGCTGCTGTGTGCCAGCCCAGCTCCTGCAGGACAGCTGCCTCCAGCACCCAGGGCACCTGGGCTGGCAGCACTGCCCGTGCCCCCCAATGCTGTTTGGGCAGGAAGGAGCAGAGCTGAGCAGTTCAGGGGGAGAAATTAATGTCCTTCCTCCTCCTGGAGAAGTTTCTCCGGGGTATGAGGAGAAGAAGCAGAAGGGTTTGAGCATCTGCCCTGCACAATGTCGTGGATGTGCTCTGGGGGGGAAAATGTGCAGCAGATGCCACTGCCCAGGCTGGGAATGGTGGAGTTTGAGGAAGATGCGTCTCTGGGAAGCTCCTTGTCCAGCTCCTGTCTGGACTAAGCACTCACAGGGATGCCTCACACTCTGTTTTGGTAGGGAGGGCTTAGGCTGAGTGCTTTCACACACACATCTCATCACAGGGCATCAATTCCTGCCTCCTCATCCCCCCCCTCTGAGGGCTGGAAGATCCCTGAGCTGAAGACTGTCTGTAGAAGAGTCATTGAAATCTGATTTTCCCATCCCCTTGCATTTCTTTGCCTATCAATAATGGTTCTTGCTGTTAAATACCTGGTTCTTGCTGTTAAATCATTAAGTCTGAGTGTTGCATTTGAAATGTGGGTTTGATAGAAATTTAAACTTCGTTGCTTGAATACTGATGAACCACAACCCAGCTGCTCTCTCTGCATTTCCAGGGGGATAAACTCTTCTGGTTTGGTGCCTCTCAGGTTTATGGGTTTGGTGTTAAGTGTGAGGAAAACCTGGGCATATTGACTAGAAAGATAATTATTACTATCTGAAGGATTTTTATCTGTAAAGATCGGAACATCCCCTGGGAAAAGATGTTCCCAGCCAATTATTCCAGAGGAAAACTCAGCCTGTGCCAGTCCTTGGTGGCTTCACTTGAATTGTTTGACTCTCAGTCCCTGGGAAATCCTGAACAGCCCTGAGTTGGGCATCACAGATCCAGGTGCTCCTGGCTCCCTCTGGAATGTTTTCCTCATAATTCACAGAGAAGTTGTCTAGACCAGAGACATTTATCACAATTGGGAAGACAGGAGTGATTTTTGAGGGCAACAAAGTTCAAAGACTTTGCTGTAAGTCTTCAGGATTAAAGATTTACTTGATGCATCTTCCCATATTTAATAGACAGGAGGAGATGAAAGGGAATTTCTAGAAAGATTTCCGTTCATACTTAATGATGCCACTGTGAGATGAGCTTTGGCACCGTGTCCCAAGACATGAAGTTTTAAAACCAACCTTTTTTTAAACATTAAATGACCTTTTTTCATGCTCTAGCTTTAATAAATAAAGATTAGCTCAGCCTCATTACCTGCTCGGTCCTGAGGGCTGGTTTAATATTTAGTAAAAGTAACCAAAGTGTCCCAAAATGCAAGGGAGCACATTTTGCTGGTTTTCTATCACAAGTCCCAAAGTTCAAACTCAATCAGAGCTGAGTAAAGAAGAGGGTTTACTGTTGTTATTTTTTTTGAGGTTTTATTTTTTTTTCCCCTCACCTGTAGGGAACTTTTCAAGATTTCCAAAAAATAAGAATGGAAAATCCCATCCTGAATAGACACACAGAAAAACAAACCTTTTTTTGTCTAGGTGGCCTGGGGAAATAATTCAAAATGCTTTGGTTTCGACTGTTTTATATTTCAAATGTCTTTAACTGCACATTAGTGGAAGTGGATTTTGTTTGAAAACTGGCAATTAGGAATATACTCGAAAACATTTCCCAATTTAGCGATTTTGAAGCTTTTAAATTAGAAACTTAATGAATCTCAGAATGCTGACACACACTCCCCTCACCACTGATCTTTAATTTTGCTGTGTCAGCACCTGAACACCAGCAGCATTTTTGGGATGTTCATCACATTCCAGCACACGGATTTACCCTTTCCTGGGAGCAGGGTTGGAGGAAAGAAGTTTTGTCTGTGAGAACTTTTTTCTCTGCTGCTTTTTTCCTAAAGAAATGGAGTTTTAGCTGCTTGTTGGGACACGTTATTCTCCCAGACATCTGTGTATAGTGCACCACAAGTGTTGCTGTGGGGTTCTTTATCAGTGCTTACTTAATTCAGCTCCCACAAAAGCGGGAAAATCTAGGAAGAGACGGAATTTCTTGAGTATCCTCGGGATATAAAGTAAATCAGGATAGTGTGGAGCACTTCTGCTTCACCAGTGGATTCCACTGCTGAGGCTGGGGCAGGACTGGGACACAGGGATGCTCTGCAGTTTTGTCAGGAGGCAAAAGATTCCAGTGGGATGAGCAGAGCAAGGCTGGAAAAAGAGCCCTGAAACGTGGTGTGAGTTGGTCGTTGAAACTGGGCTGTGCTTTGAGCTTTGGGGTTGGGTCAAAGTGAGTCTCAGGGGCAGGAAAGCCAAAATAAAAGGAACCTGGACCTGAGACAGGAGTGTTGGTGGCACTGGAGGGTGATGGGGAGCAGTGAGGACCTTCCAGACACAAACCAGCCCTCTGAGGGCTGTTCTCAGTCCCACCTCCAGCCCAACATCTCTGTGCTTCTCTGCCAGGTACCCCAGTGAGCTCTGACTTTGAACAGTGGCTGTCCTGCCAGCCCTTGCTCTTAGAACTCAGGATAACCTCCAGTTCAGGACTGATTTCAGTTATTTCAGGCATTATTTCAGGTTTCAGCTGATTTTCCTTCTAAAAAAACCCCAAGCCAAACGTGCTGCAGCCCAGTGCCACGTTCCAAAGCTTCCCCAGGGCTGCTGCCCTGAGTTCCCTGTTTCCCAGCCACACAGCCCAGCAGAGCCCCACTAATCCCTGCCCTGCTCACCTGCCTGCTCCGGCCCCTGAGCAGTTCTGGATGGCATCACTCCCTTTGGAGTGATTTTTTGGGAAGGGAAGATAAGCCTTGGTGCTTTTTTTAATGTGCACAACAAACAACAGCTCTGCCCTTCCCCAGATCCAGTGGAATTGCTGTGTTCTGGGAGGAGACCCCCTGTTAGCAGGGACAAACCCGGGGGGGTGCAGACCTTGTGCCAGCTCATAACAAAATGCTCAACTCTGATTCCTTTTTGCCTTCCCTCAAGAAAACAAAAATAATACCCCTCACCCTCTCCCTGTGCCTAACACAGATTTGAGTGGGCAGCCCCAGGAGCTGAGTTCAAGAGTCAAGTGCTTTCTGTTTGAAAAATATTTGTCCCTCCCCACCCACGGCTGCCCACGTGCTTCCTGAAATATTCCAGCTATCAGCACCGGATCAACGCTTCACAGGAACGATCCAAGGCTATCTGGGGACGTTCCTCCTTTGTTGGGATGTGAGGCAGAGCCTGGGTCTGGGTTCCTCGGGGCTGCACAGCTGGATGTGCCTCTCTGAGAGCCCCCGGGGTGGGTGCTGGATGCCACCAGCACCCCGACAGCGTGGGTGGCTGTGCTGTGGCATTCCGACAGGTAGCACAGCCACTGCTGCAGAGATTTCACCACCCACCTGTCTGGCAAAAACCTCGGGAGGTGGGTGAAACAGCAGGAGAGGCCGTGTGGGAAGGAGGATGTGCCGAGTGTGGTGGCGAGAGGAGCACCAGCGCTCGCGGGGAGATCCCGAAGGGATCGGGGGACGGGGGGGATGGGGACGTGCACAGAGTCCCTGCCGTGCCTAACCACTGCCAACCCCTTTGCTCCCACAGCTGCCATCCTGGATGACCCCATGGAGTGCAGCAGAGGGGAGAGGCTCTCCATCACCCTGGCCAAGAACCGCATCAACCGCGCGCCCGAGCGGGCGGGGAAGGCCAAGGTGGAGGTGGACATCTTCGAGCTGCTGCGGGACAGCGAGTACGAGACAGCAGAAACCAGTGAGTGCCTCTCCTGCAGCTGGGCCTGCCCCCCTTCCCCTCTCTGCCAGCTCGCCAGAGGTGTCTGGCACACGTGCTGCAGAGGGAAATTGTGTGTCAGCCAGCCGGGATAAAACCCCACCTCTCTGCTCCTCTCCTGCTCACACAGAGCAGTTTTCATTTGAGGGTGTAGCTTGGCGTTGGGAGGTGAGCCCAGGCGTGGACTTGAGAGGATCTGGGTCCCCAACAGGCTTTGCCACCACTCAGCTCAGCGGTTTGGGACAAATTACTTCCTTTAAGCTGTGTGTCAATAAACAGGGGCAGCGATATGGGAGGTGCTGATCCTTTGTGAGGCACTTAATGGTGAGCAAATAAGAGACTCTCTGGGCAAGTTGGGTGCAATTAAGTTATTTTTAATTCCCCCTGGAATTCTGCGTGTCAGCAAACATGACAGCTCTTCCAGGGCTTGAGATTGGCAGCAGATTTATTTACACAAAGGGAAGTTTTTAAGTGATGTTTAAAAGCATGTGGATTGAAAAAGAGCTAATTCTGAAAGAGCAGTAGATTTCCCACGTCACTCCCAAGTCCCTTAATGAAACAGTTCTCTATTAGAGTTGTTCCTCTGGATGCCCAGTGTGTCAGCTCCGTGCTGATGGATAACAAGGAGATTGATGGTCAGTGTCCCACAGACCTTTTGGGAGCCTGAGTGAAAGGAGCCCAAAAGATCTATAATTGCTTCTTCCTATAAGAGTAAATATCCTTTGGAATAGGATAGCTTCCCTTCCGAATCATTTTTAAGCTGACCTTTAGAGTTCAAGGGAGGACTATAACTTTTTATTACCAGTTGGCTTGAAAAAGCTGGAGAAATCATTTTTAATAATAGGGATTTTAGACTCGTTTCCCAACGGTTCTGTGTTCCAGGACTGTGCAATCTGCAGGGCATCCCCAAAAAGTGTGGTGGTGTGTTGTGGCCTGGGACAGGCTGGTTTCCCCCACGGTTTTGGTGTGTGCTCTGCAGAGCATTGAGCAGCCCTGTGGTACCCAGAGCTGCTCAGCAGTGACTCTGGGTAGCTGGAAGAACGGGCTCCGTGGGTCTGCGAGATCAGCACATCCTTCATTTCCTGAATTAGTGTTTGCATTATTTATAGAAGAGTTCAGTTAATAAAATGCGTCTCAGCAAGTACCTGGATGTCTATTTATAGAGCCTGTCACCCGTGAGGCAGCACAGATTAAAATCATCACAGGCAGCAGCACAGGGGCTGTTTAAAGCAGCAATTCTCCACTGGTTTGGATCCCTCATCTCTCTTCTGTGTTCTTGGTCTTTCCCATCTGCCCAGGATTGTTGCCCATCCTGCTTTGCCCTCATTTGGCACGGCTTTGGGGCACATCCAGTCTCCCTGTGCAGAAGGGATGGGGACAGCCTGGATTTCATGGAATCATAGAATCACAGGCTGGGTTGGGTTGGAAGGACCTTAAAGATTATTGAGTTCCAACCCCCCTGCCATGGGCAGGGACACCTTCCAATAGCCCAGGTTTCTCCAAGCCCCGTCCAACCTGGCCTTGGGCACTTCCAGGGATGGGGCAGCCACAGCTTCTCTGGGCAACCTGTGCCAGGGCCTCCCCACCCTCCCAGGGAAGAATTTCTTCCCAATATCCCTCCTAAACCTACACTCTCTGCCAGTGGGAAGCCATTCCCCCTTGTCCTGTCACTCCAGGCCCTTGTCCAAAATCCCTCTCCATCTTTCTTGTAGCTCCTTCAGGTCCTGGAAGGTCACAATTAGGTTACCTTAAAGCTTCTCTTCTCCAGGTTGATCAATCCCAATTCTCTCAGCCTTTCCTCCCAGCAGAGCTGCTCCACATCCCTCTGATCAACTTGGTACCTCCTCTGGACTTGCTCCAGCAGCTCCTTCCCAGTACATTCCCAGTTTGCCCCTGGAAGTATCCCAGACCTCTCAACAGCCTCCTAGGAAATGACAAAATTCCTTGTTTGCCTGAGCTTTCTGTGCAGGAAGGACCCAGGAAAAAAGGGTCTTAAAGGACCCTTTGAAGGACCCAGTGGCATTTTGAGTTCCATTCCAGTTCCTTCCTCATAAATCTCCTGCGTGGAGCAGCTTTCCTGTTGTTTAACTCGGGGCTTGGCTGCCAAGTGACCCCCAGGGATGCCACAGGGATGGGGGGCAGGATTTCTGTCCCACTTGTCCACCCATAACACTGCTTATTAATCTCTGCTGGGAGATTTTTTCAAGCTGAGAATGAAATGTTCCACAAGAAATTGTTGATTGCAGCAAAAATGTTGTGTTTGGGGAGAATGTGGAAACAGGGTGAGTGAGGAAGAGGCACCTCCCATTTCCAGTTTGCACCTTTTTGGGTGATTTTCTTGGTTTTCTTTACTCGGGCTTGCAGAATGTAAAAAAGTAGGAAGTGGAGCAAACTTGATGTGGTTTTGGTGAGTTTTGCAGTGTGTTATTTACCTTTTCTTCAGAGGGAAAAATGTCTGCAAGCATGTCTTTGAAAAGGAAAAAATCTGGATTCTGCATGGCTCTGCTATTAATGTCACTGAAGTTATTCTTGATTTACACTGGCAGTGGAGGAGAATCAGATCCTCTGACTTAAATTTCAAGGGCTTTCATGCCTCTCAGATGCTTTAATACAGCTCTGATGTTTGTTATGACACATAATATTAATAAAAACTGTTTAGATGCTTTAACCTATGACTGCAAAGCTGTTATACAGCTGTTTAATACTGTTCTCACATTTCACACCCTTTTGAGTCACTGTTAAATATCACAGCTCCATGTTTAGCTGACTGATTTAGGAATTACACCCCATCAGTGATATTCCATAAACAGTTAGTGCTTCAAGAGAAGGAGGAATTTTGGGGAGTTAGTTTTTTATTTTAGTGTTGAGCTGCTTTTCTTTCCTTTTTCCTTCTGACTGGCTCACGATAGAGGGCCCCAAAAATCACAGTTGCTGCAGCAGGTGAAATATGAGTCAGTTAATCACATTCATGCCTGGTTTCTATTTCAGCTTTAGATATGAATGAAGGCAAACATTGACTGCTCCTGTGTGAAACATCTGTGTTTGCAAGGAGTTTGCACTGAAAGGTTGTGGACAGAGCTTTTTGGTTGGTTCTTTTTTTTGCTGTTACAAGGAAAACCTGTTCTCTCTTTGTGTTTGATGTTTCAGCTCCTTTCATGGGGATCCAAAATGACTTGTTTAATCGTGTCTTTATCTAAACCACCTCATTCCTTTTGATGTCCAGGGAGGGACAGATCTTCTGCTTGTCCCCCTGTCCCCTATGGCCTCGTCAGCCTTTTAAGCATCTCTTTGTTGTGAATCCAAACATCCTGGGGCAGGTCAGGGGCTGCAGGATTTTAAATTTTTATTTATTCACACCAGGATTTCAAAGTGCCTGATATGTCCTTTCAGTGGCAGTGGCTCAAATGTGCTGTTATATTACCTGTCCCACCATTTTTGTGGGATTTCACGTTTTCAGCCTGCTTTGGTTGTCATGGAATCACAGAATGGTTGGGGCTGGAAAGGGACCTTGAAGATCTTCCAGTTCCACCCCCTGCCCTGGGCAGGGACACCTTCCACTAGAGCAGGTTGTTCCAACCTGGCCTTGAACACTTCCATGGGCAGCCACAGCTTCTCTCTGGGCTCCCCTGGTTGTGGGTTCCTTTTAGGAAGCACAAAGGATGCTGCAGGGAGCAGTCTGGGAGTGCAGGATGAACCCTCTGGAACACCAGCTATTTATTTATTTATGCACTTGGTGTTCCCTGTCTGAGATTCCCGTCCTGACCAGTCCCTGCCACTCCAGACCCTCTGGCATGTTTTGCAATCATGGAAATGCTGAGGTAATTGCCAACCTTCCCTGCTCATTTATGCTCAGTTAGAGCCAGGAATGTTCCTTGCACGCTGTTTGAAACCCTGGGATCAGGTGTCTGTGTGCAGGGAAGGGGATGCTGTGTCCTGCCCCGGGGGTGGATGCTCTCCCTGGGGGGCTTTCAGCCCTGCTTTGAACAGGGAAATGTTTGGGATCCCAGGAGGGGAAAGGCTCTCTCTGACCATGTCTGAGGGGCTGCACAGACATATATAATGTCACAGTTACCTACTTGTTGTCTTGCTTGTCCATGTTCAAAAAATAAGCATGTGTTTCCACCTTCCTTTAAAAAAATACCTTGTTGTTTCCTGAGTGTCCAGGGCTTTGTAATTCCCAAATACACCCATGGAAACAATTAAACACATCCCTTTCTTGCTTTTGTGGCAGCACAGCCCTGCTGCTACCAAAGGAGGGTCACTGTTCACTGCACACTGAACACACACCTGAGCAGGGATGACCCCACACCCCATCCCAGGATTAAAGAGCTTCTTAATGTGATGCCTTTCCAATGTCGAGTGTTTCTTGAGATCCTGAATTCTGGACAATGTAAAATTGGACACAAAGAGAAGTCTGCAGCAATCAAAAATGTGTCCTGCCCAGCACCCACCTTACGTGGCAGCCAGGTGGGGGAGTGTGAAGGGATTGGAGGGGCAATATCCCATAATATGCCACTGTCTGTGGTTATACTCTCTGTGATTAGCAGGGATGAGGGGTTTTTTTTACAGGACCTACATTTCTGCAACCCTTTTCTGAACCTGCAGTGCCCATGGCAGCAGCAAGGCTGAGCCTTTCCTCCCTGTGGGGACAAACAGCATCAGGAAACGTTCTGGAGTAGGAAATGAGCTTGGATTACACGGGAAGCTTCCCAAACGTGGTCAAAACCTTTGCCTCGGGCACCTCCACTTTGTTTCCATTCATTTTCCTTAATTTTAGTGGATGTTTCCCCCTGGTAGTGACAAAAACCAGGTCTTTTTCTTCTGGCAGTTGTTGCAACTCTGTTGCTATGGCTACTTAACCCACTTTTTGTTCTCCCTGCCGGGGATGAGAAGGAAAGCGCTCACCAAACTTTTCCCCTCCCTGTGCACCACAGAATTTTCCCTGGGAATTTTTGCCTTTACGACCTGTGGATAAAGGAGGGGACTTGGAGCAGCTCCTTCCCCCTCCAGCTTGAAGGGTTTGCTGGAGCTGAGAGGGGCTGCTGAGGCAGCAGGCAGGGTTTTCAAATCGCTGGTGCTCTTATTTAAAAGCGTCTTCTGAAGAGGTCTAAGTGCCTGTAAATTTTTAAGCACGGAGGGAAAGCAAGCACTGGATTCCTTTTGAAGATGCCACAGAAAAATATCACTGGCTCTGGAGGAGACTGAGCTGTTGCAGGGGGAGAGGGCACAGAAGGAAGGAAAATCCAAGAGGAGATGTTTGCATTTCATCAGCACTTGCTGTAAGAAGTCAGAGCAATCAGTATGGACAGGGGCTGGGGAGGGTATGGAGCTCTGCCTTCAAAAGAGAGGTAAAACCAATTCCCCAAAGGGAAAAACTAAATCAGATTTTGGCCTCATATTCCAGTCATGAGGCTGTGGAGACTTATGGAGTTTAAGGCCAGAGATCACAGACTCCCAGAATGGTTTGGGTTGGAAGGAACCTTAAAGCTCACCTTGTTCCACCCCCTGCCATGGGCAGGGACACCTTCCACTAGCCCAGGTTGTTCAGGGCTCCATCCAACCTGGCATTGGACACTTGCAGGGATGGGGCAGCCACAGCTTCTCTGGGCAACCTTGGGTAGCTGAAATCAGGCTGTAGAAGTTCACTTTCCAAACTCTGTGCTCCACCCCACAGCTCACTGCTCTGAAACCACCCCAAGCACAGTGTGGGCTCTCATTTCACATCCAGCCCTGATTTAAAGACTTCGAATTGATAAAAAACCTGCTCTGATCTATGTTTCAGCCATTTTGATGATGAATTCCCATTGCTACAAAAAAGCCCCAAAACAGCACGTTCAGATTTGAATTTTTCCAGCTCCTTTTCCAGCCACTGAGCCTGGATAACTCTTTGCAACCATCCCAAAAGCTTGTCTGAGGTGTAAACCAGGGACCTGTGGCGAGGAGGGAAGTTTGATGCTGAAGAAGCATCAGAAGCTTTAAAATCCCAGCTTTGTGCTGCTGTGCTTTAATTTTTCCACATGAAAATGTTGCGAGCCAGAACTGATGGGTAGTTTTGGTGCCTCCCTTCCCCTCTTCCACACCCTGTTCCTTCAGGAAGGCTCCAGTGGCTCTGTGTGTGTGGGGAGGAAGGAGCTGAGCGTGTGAGGATGCTGAGGCAGGTCTGGCATTGCAGAAGGAGCCGTGGCCAGCACATGTTCACATGAGCTTGTGAGAGCCCAGGAATTGAGGCACCAGGGGCTCTCGCCTTCTGTTCAGGCTTTGCCTGCACCAGCTGCTCCCGAGGAGCATTCCTGGTGGATGGGGATGGCAGCAGGGAGGTGACACCAGCTGGGCTCCTCCTTGGAGCGCAATTCAGCTAAATTTGTGCTGTGAATTGAGAGGACAAAAGGTTGCATTTTAACCCAGGGAAGCTTGAGGGAAGAGATTTAACTTCTTGGGTTTGTCAGGGTGTTTTGGTTTTTTTTTTATTGCTCTGCTAACCTTGGTGGACAGGAGCCAGAAGATTAACTACAAATAGGGAAAAAAAACCAACCCCAAACAAATGAAAAACAGTAATGCAACCCTTATTATTACCACTGAGCTCTGCAGAGGATGAGGGGAGCAATTCATACAAGTTTGTTTGCTGCTGGATGATGCTTTGAAGCCGAGTCACTGCTGTGTTGAGCATCTTCCATATACTTCAGTTCCCATTTTATCCTGGGGCCAAAAGGGGTGTTAAAAGAGAGAGCCCCCAGAGATGAGGATACTGGGGCTTTGGGGAGGGTTTAGGTGGGATTTTAAAAGGCTGGGGAACCAGGGAGAGTGTCACAGGCAGGGTGACAGTGCTTCAGGGGGAATAGAGGGATTCTGGGGGTGTAAATGGCAGGGAGTGTGCTGTGTGAAGGAATGTGATGTTCTTAGTGCAGCAGGTACTGTAAGCAGTTGAGGATGAAGTCTAATGCCTGTTCCCTCTCTCTGGTGCCCACAGTGTGCCAGATTCTCCCCAAAGGAGTGGTTGGAGTCCTGGGACCTTCCTCAAGCCCAGCCTCGAGCTCTATTATCAGCAATATCTGTGGGGAGAAGGAGGTAAGTGGAAAAGTTCCTTTCTGGGGTAAGTTTATGCCCTCACACTGACTTGGCCCCAATGCCCCCGTGCCTGGTGGGCTGCCCAGGGCTGGGAGGGAATGTGGGAGCCCTGATCCTTCCTGAACATCCCAGCCAGAGCTCCTGGTGTGACACAACTTCGTGCACAAACGTGGAAAGCTTAATTTTTTTGTTTTTAACAGTTTACTGGTGTTCCATCAATGCAAACCCTTTTTATCTGTGTCCAGGCCGTGTGCTTGATTTAATATTTCCCAAGCCTTCAACCACCTTACGCTGATCTGGCTCTGCACAGGGGAAAAGAAATTGAGTTCTCCTCTCACAGTTCATCCCTTTAAAGCCAGATAACATCTCTCAGCCATTTCGTGGGCTCTCTCTGGAGCCCAGCCCCCGAGGAGGGGAGGCTGGAACTAAGCACTGGAAATAATTCGCATTAACAAATGAGTGCTGTTCGTGGTTCCTGGAGAATCAGGAGCGGTGAAGAGATGGATCTTTCAGACCTAATGCACTGAGCTGTGGCAGGATGGGTCTCCTGGGGGTGTTTTGTAGTGCTTTCTCCTGTTAAACCTCCTGGACCTGTGCTCCATCCCAGGCCAGGCAGCTCTGTAGTAACACACCAGGAGTGTTTTGCCCCTCCAGTCTCTGATCTCTCTTTTTTTTTCTCAGCAATGAAAGGTGAGTCCCGGTGCAATTCTGAGCTGTTTGATTCTCACACTCGATCTCAGCTGCCCTCTTAGGGATGCAAACCTGCAGCAGGTCCCTGTGATTTGTATCACAGAAGCATCAGCTGGTGCCACTGTGCCCCCTGCTTCCAGCCATCCCTCGGGCACAGGGAACTGTGTCCCCGTGTCACCCCGTGGTGCAGGGACTGGAACCTGTGGGGATGGACCTGTCCCTGCTGTGTCACCCCTCCAGTGCTTGTGGCACAGAGATTTCCTTCCCCCTGTGCAGAAAAGGGGTGTTGCAATGGGGCAGAGTCCTGGGGAGGAGAGGAGGACTCCGGGAGTGAAGGGTCTGAACCAGGGCTGGGATCAGCCCTGGGGGGTCCCCTCTGTCTGCATTTCCTTCTCTCTGGTATCTGCAAACCTCAGGCTCGTCCTGGCTCCCAGGAATGATCAGGATGCTGCCCTGTCTGCTCTGGTTACAGGAATTCAGCTTTCCCTCCCAGCCTGTCTCCCTGCTAACACAGCCCGGGATGAAGGCTGCAGACTGAAATCAAGGCAGATAGCAGCTTATTACTCTTTTAAGTTTCCTTTTGCTAAGCAAACAGCTTATGCTGTCAATAAAACAACCATCACAAGCTGCTAATAGGCTTTCCCAAGAGGAGAGAGGTGGGAGGCATAGGCTGATAGCTTCAGGAAGGGGCTAATAATGAAGGAAAAGTCGACTTGACACTCGGCTAACGAAGCCGTAGCAGATGTTTCCCTTTCTCTGACTTCTATTTCTTGCAAATAATTCACTCAGCAAAAGGAAAACAATATTCCCTCTCCTTATTTGGCTGAACCCTCAGTGCCTGAGCTTGATCTGTCTGTCTGCCCACCCATTCCCTCTGCAGGAATCTGCAAGGTGTGCAGCTCCCCCCCTCCCCAAATTCCCGGAGGAGCAGCATCCCACCCCCTCCTCCTGCTCTGTGTGTTAATGACAAATGCAGCATTATCTGGACTGGTGGTTCCAGTCCCTTGGAGCTTGCCCATGGTATGGCCACCTGTTACCTGCTGATCAAAAATGCCCAAAGCTTCTGGCTGCTGCATCTGTTCCCCTCTCCCGAGCCCTGCCAGCACGGGGTCATCCTGTTCTCCCCTTCATCTGCCCTTAATTGCCCGATGACACACCAGCTCAGCAGGCAGGGGTGGATCTGCAGCACACAGCAAAGGGCTGGGGGCTCCATGGCTGCATCCCAGTGTATCCCTGCCTGCATCCCAGTGTATCCCTGCCTGCCTGCATCCCAGTGTATCCCAGCCTGCCTGCATCCCAGCCTGCCTGCATCCCAGTGTATCCCTACCTGCCTGCATCCCAGTGTATCCCAACCTGCTTGCATCCCAGTGTATCCCTGCCTGCATCCCAGTGTATCCCTGCCTGCCTGCATCCCAGTGTATCCCAGCCTGCCTGCATCCCAGCCTGCCTGCATCCCAGTGTATCCCAACCTGCTTGCATCCCAGTGTATCCCTGCCTGCATCCCAGTGTATCCCTGCCTGCCTGCAGAGTCTCCTCCCTGCTTACCCAGGCAGCCATGAAGTGTGGGCCTGGCTACAATTAGTGCCCCAGCTAATTAGGTTGAACTCATCCGGAAGGTTTCCCGGGCTGTAATCACAGACCCCGTTGCCTTTCTCTGAGTGGCTCAGCAAGACTTTTCCTGATCCACTTCTCCCCGTGGCTTCTCGTTGCTGTGATAATTATTTTCCTCTGCTGTTGCACAAATCCCACCCTCCTCTCTTGACTCCAGCGACGCTTATTCAGTTTTATTGGGATGTTTCCCTTCCTGCCTGCTGTGCGTTTCACACCAAAGGCCCTTTACCGCAGATTTACTTGTTTTTATTTCTGTTTCCTCTTTAATTATATTTTCTTTCCTCTCCCTGCCCACTTAGGTTCCTCACTTCAAAGTGGCACCGGAGGAGTTCCTGAAGCTGCAGCTCCAGCGCTTCACCACCCTCAACCTCCATCCCAGCAACACCGACATCAGCGTGGCCGTGGCAGGAATCCTGAATTTCTTTAACTGCACCACTGCCTGCCTCATCTGTGCCAAAGCTGAATGTGAGTCCTTGCCAGGCTGGCTTTGCCTGCCCCTCTCTTCCAGCCCCTCCTGTGTGTTTGGTGCTTGCTGGAGAAGGTCCCACCAGCAGCGTGTGGGACCTCAGTGTTGCATCCCAGATCTCCATCTCTCGTGCAGACACATCCTTCTCCCCCCCAGAGCAGGTTCTCCACCCTGTTGCCCCCAGGGAGGTGTTTGTGAGAGGAGGAAAGGGGATGGGAAGAGACTTGCCTGCCTTCTGTTTGACAATCTGAAGAGTGTTTTGCTTCCACAGATGGGGTTTTGAATTTAGAAAAAAAAAAAAGGCTTAGGCTTGTTTCTGGAGATTATTTTAGGCAAGTAAAGCTTTTTGAAATATGTCTTTCCCAAACCCACATGCAGCTTGTGGCCTAAAAGCAGGATTTGATTAATAGACAATACACTGCATGGCCTCTTGGGCTCTGCAGCCCTACATCTGCTGGCCATGGTGCATCTGGTTGCTGGAGCTTTCACCTCAGCAGGACCATGTTCACCTCTGCAGAGCTCCTGACGTGGCAGAGGCAGCTCTGCATCCCAGTGCTGAGAGCAAAGTGGGTCCTGTGCTTGTGGAGGTCACTGAACAGCAGGGAGATGCTGTGGAGCAGCCACAGCAATTCTGCTTTTATTGCCCTGTTCATCAGCACAGTTCATGGCACAAACCAGCCTGGCAGAGGGGCTTTGAAAAGGCACCAGGGAGAGCTCTGGGGATGCTGGTCTCTGACTGGGCCAAGGTGGGAGGGAAAGGCAGCACCATCCCCAGCCAGCCCTGGGCAAACCTCACCCCACCAGCTGGGCCAGTAATGCAGGGCTGTGGTGACTCCTGCACAGGGACAGGGGGAACAGGAGTGTCTCTGCCTTTCCTTTTTGCTTCACATGCCCTGAGGAGACCAGATACTGAGCTGATAGGAGTCAGTAAATTACCTTCTGTAAACGTGCTCAGATTTACCCCAGGAAAGGACCCGACTCAAAATGATGCAATTAAAATCATGCACATGCTCTCCTGCATTACTTCCAGGGCTGGAATTTTTCATTGTCTGCCTTAACCTTAAGCAGGAGGGGAAAGAAAAGATAATTAGGTTTTCTCACCTGCCGTGCAGGAGGCTCAGAGCCCTGTCCCCCCCGAGCACACATCCACCCCTGCCCTCCTCCCCAGCTCTCTGCCAAAACATGCAGGTGCCTCCTGTTGGTATTAATATGATTAACAAGATTCTTCATTTAACTGGATCAAAACCAACGACACCCCTTTACTTGAAGCAATCCAATTTGTTTTACTGCTGGAGAACTCAATATTTAGGATGAGCTGCAGAACCTGAGTCCTTTCCAGTCCCTGGGAAGCAGTGGGATGGGTGCCTTTTGTGGATCTTGCTCTTTTGTGCTCAGGAAGGACCTGATGTGAGCTGGGCTTGGAGCACGGAATGCTCTGGCTGTAAGAGAGCACATACTCAAGCTTCATGTAGGAGCAGAAAGCCTCATTTTCCCTTAGGACATGCACTGCTCCTGAGCACAGTCCTTAAACAACTAACTCGAGGCATCTCAGGCTTTTGGAAGGTTCCCTTGAGGTAACTAAGGGGAGCATATGAGCTGTGTGCTCATCAGTGAGGAAATGCTGCTTTGAGGGACGTTTTTATTTGGGCCCCAGGAGGGGAAAATTGTAACTGTTTTGGTTTAAGTGCAGGGCTGTGTGATGGGGCTGTCACTGCAGGGAGTCACATCCTTCCTCTGGGGACTGAGCGCAATTTGCCTTGGCAGAAGCAGAAAATGACCCTCAAAGTCAAGGAATTTGGGCCAACCTGAGTGTAGTGCCGTGGTGAATAGAATGAGGTTGTATGACTCAGTTAAGTGACTGAGTTTGGTGAAGAGAATGAGATGATGTGACTCAGTTTGGTGAATAGAATTGAGATTATGTGGCTCGGTTTCTCTCTCTGGTGTGGAGTAATTTGCCAGTTTGTGAGTTGCTCTGAAGTCCTAATGTGGAAGGTTTGGTGTGATTCCACAAAAACCTTACCCCAAAAAAGGCAGATTGAGGGGTGCATGGGTTTAATAGGAGCTCTGATTGTCAGAGAGGGGAGGGAATAACACCCAGTGCTTAAAAGAGGAGACCAGGGCACTGAGATCAAGGGCCCTGAGCACATCCTGGGATGCTCAGGGATGTTTGGAGCAGTGGTGTTGGGTGTAAGAGCGAGGCTGGATGAGGGGAATCTCCATTCTCTTCCCAACCATCGGTGTCAGGGACTGCAATCACAAATAGAACTGCTGGGGCTCTGGGTGTCCATCAGCAGAGCCTCACAGGCAAGAGGAATGAACAGGGGTGTGAGACCCTACTTCCCAGGAAGCTGCTCGTGTGCCCAGAGCTTGGGAGTGGGCTGCTCCTGCCAGCTCCGAAGGTTTGCATAAGGAAAAATAAAATAAGCAGGGTCAGGACTTGCCACTGGCCAGTTTGGGCCACTGACAGCTCAGTGCTGGTCCCCACAGAGCTGTTCAAAGAGCAGGTGCCTGGTGCAGCCTCTCTGTGCACCCTGGCCCTCACTTCACTACTTCAGAGTTGCCAGGAGGAGTCTCCGAGCCCTCACTTGTGTTCACATCCCTCTGAAGTGCCAGCCTGGCAGCAGCAGCATCTCCAGTCCTCATCAAACAAAGGGGAATCTCTTCAGATAATAGAGACTTCCCTCAGCACAGCAAGAGGAGCTGCAAGCAGGAAGCTTGATGAGGCTTCAGGTAGGATCTGATGTGCTGGAAATGATAATTTCCTCCAGTCAGAGGAGGAGATCAAATGATTCCTTTTTTTTTTTTTTTCTTTTCCCCCCTGGTCCCACTTCCTCCTCTCTGTGCTTGATGTGCTTTTGAAAACTCCTTCCTGAGTTTCACAGCAGCAGATATTGCTGGGATGAGCTGTCAGTAAACTTGGGAGTCTCAGCTCTGTTACTTGCAGCAACCTGGCTGGTCCCTTGCAGGGGTGGAATTAGGTGGAAATAAACCTTGCAAGGATCAAATGGAGGGCTTGGGTAAAATTTACTGTTTGTGTGGGCTAGCACACACAAAAAAAGGATTCAGGTGAGGTCTACTCCATGTGTCCTTTATGCAGAGTGAATTTACTGGCCAGCGAGAGAGAAGAAGCTGGTGTGACCCAGAGCAGTCCTGGCTGTTTTTTCAGTCCTTTGCTGAGTTCCTGCCTGTACCCAGAGAAAAGCTAAGAGTCCAGAGCATTGTGAGGAGCTCAGAACAAACTTAACGTGCTGAAAAAGTCTCCCTGTGAATGAGAGGCTCCTCATCTTGGATGTGTCCCTTTAGCTGCACTGCTTTGTTACCTTTGTGGAGTGCTGGGAGTCCTTGGGAGCAGAGCTCTGCTCAGTCACATCCTCTTGTGTTGCCTCCCTGGCCCTTGACCTGCTGGTGAACGAGGGAGTTTGTGCAGCCAGAAGTGAGGAAGGTTGAGAGCAGAGCCCTGACTGGAGGATGGATTTGCCTTTCTGCCAGCTGGGATGTGATGCTGCTCATAGTTCTGTTCTTTTTGGTTTCCTTCAGTTCAGTTCCCTCCTCCTTTATGGATTCCTGCAGGGATGGGATGTGTGGCCATGCCTGCTGCCTGTGCCTCGCCAATGATTACATCTGGTGGTCCCTCTGGTCAATCAAACTTGACAGGAGGTTATTTCTTGATGAAACTCAGCAGCTGGGCTGGAAGAGGCAGACTCTTATCAAATATGCTGTCGTGACTGAGAAAAGCTGCAGCAGGAGCTTTGACATCTTATTAGACTTCAAGGCAGCTGGGTTGGAAGGAGCCCTTGCAGTGACCAGGCTGCAGGGGGAAACTTCAGTCAGAAGTGCCAGAAAGGCGATGGAGAACAAGCCCAGGGAAGTCAGGACTCATCCAGGGGGGTGTTCACTAATACTTTCTGTCTCCAGCTTGCAGCTGAAGGGAGAGCCCAGTCCTGCAGACGAGGTGGTCCTTTTCCATGCCCCTTTCCCGTGGCTGGTCCCATCCAGACGCTGCCCCGGGGTGGTGCTGAGCACTCAGGGGGCTCAGTGGGGGCACAGAGAGGCAGAGATGCAGCTGGCAGGGCAGACTGGGGGGAGGAGGAGGGCTGTGCCATGGAGGTGGAAGGTGGATGTCCAGAGACCTTGTCCAGCCACGGAGCCTGGACTGCAAACATTGTCCTGCTTTAAAACTCTCCTAATTTCTCCATAAAGCACCAACTATGCTGGTTGGTGGGTTGGTTGGTGTTATTGTTGGCTTCTGTGTTGCTCTGGGAACCTCCAGCCCACAGGTAATTCTGACCCACACTAGGACCATACTCACAATTTTAGTCACAGCCAATTCAGCCCATTTTTTAATGTGGAATTAATGTTGTATTTTAGCAATGACCTCAGCAGAGCTTTCCATCCCCTTGGAAGACAGCAGCTTCCCAGCAGAGTGCTCCAGGATCTCCCAAGTGTCTCGAGTTGTGCCTTGCAGGCCACTTAGTCTGGGAGCTGGAAATGCTTGAGGAGGAGGAATAATCCTCCAATAACCAGAACAATCCCACATACAGGGAGATTATGAAAACTTCTCTGGACTCTGGGATCCTGAGCAAATTTGTATCAACAATCTTATCTCTTCTCAAGAGGACTTTAGGGCCACTATTTCCTAGAGAACAGCTGGTGTAGCTCCATCATTTCTCATTCCCTGCTGGGCCAAGCAGTGAGTCCCAAATCCTTTCTGTTGCACAGACAGAGAACTGCAGGACTGCATCCTACTGGGAATGGCTGTGGGCCATGGGAGAAGAGCTTTGTGAGCCAAGCATAACGTTTAAAGGCTTTTCTCCCTTTTATTTGAAGGCCTTTTAAACCTGGAGAAGCTGCTCCGGCAGTTCCTCATTTCCAAGGACACGCTCTCGGTGCGGATGCTGGATGACAGCCGGGATCCCACCCCTCTCCTGAAGGAGATCAGGGATGACAAGACAGCCACAATCATTGTCCATGCCAACGCTTCCATGTCCCACACCATCCTGCAGAAGGTGAGTGTCCCTTCCCTGTCCCAGCTCCGGGGGCTGCTGCTCCCCCTGAGCCAGGTCCCACGTGTTGCATGGTAATGGAGTGGGGAAATCCCTGGAAACGGGCTCTGCTGAGAGGGGAATTGCCACTGTGATGGAGTTTGCGGGGAAAATAATATGCCCTCTCTTTCCAGGACTCTCATCTGGGGAAGTGATGCTTTAATTACTCTGAGCTGATGTGTTTGCCGTCTCCAAGTGGTGTGTGCTGGTGGCTCCTGTTGCCATCAAACAGCTCAGCCCTCTGAAATTAGTCCATCAGTGCACTGGTGTCTCATTTTTCTCCCCTCCCTTTATGTTTCTTAACTTTTTGCTGCCTTTTTCTTTTTTTTTTTTTTTAATTGTCTTATTAACCGAGATTTCATTTTAATCGTGTTTATTTTTAAATGGTCTCTCGCTGCAGTTTTTAGAGCTTGTTTTGATAGCCTGCCTCAAAACTGAGCAGTGGCTCCAGATGGAGTCTAAAGTTGGGTAGAATTTCCCGCATCCTGGGAGGTACAAGAAGCACATTCCTGAATGGAGGCAGGATCCAAGCCGTGGGATCCCCTTGGCTGTTGGTGCAGCCATTCCACGCAGTGTCCTGGCTGCTTTATCACGGAATTAGTCATCCAGAGGCCTTGACTGTGTCAGATTTATCCTTGATGATGACAGCCAGAAGGGATGTTTTTATTATTCCCCACCTCCCCAAAGATTTTTTTGTTCCGCTGCATGTCATTTTTTATTTTTAAATAGACAGTTTGGGGGATTTTTTTTTTTGGGTCTCTCTGCGCAGGGATTTTTTTTGGTGTGGGTTTTTTTTTTCCTCCCTTTCCCCCCCACCCCAGGTCCCTGTTGCTGCCTGGCTGCTGAGGGCTGTCCCCCTCCTCTGTTGCTATAGTGACTTCCCACAGGCACACAGCAGCTCCCTTCAGGCACACACAGCCTCCCTGCCCAGCTCCTTCTGCCACAACTGATAAAGATGTCAGTGATTCCCACGATTTTTTTTCCTGTAAAAACTAATCCAGCCTTCCCAGCCAGAGGACTGTAGGAATGGAAGGTAATAAATAATGAGCTTGTGATCTGGCAACTTCTTGCACCTTGGGAGGCTGGGAAGTGCTTTCCTTACAGAGGTGGAAGCAGATATGGGGTGAGGTGGGTGTCGAGCAAGCAGGTACAGCCTTGTCCCTCTCACAGGTCGCCAACAGCAAGAAAAGGGCACTGTTGGTTTGGAAATGTCAGCTCTGTCTTAGGAGACCAGTCCTGGCCTGCCACGGGGAGAGAAATTACAGTTTCTCATCTCTTGCCCTCCACATGTGGGCTGGAGACACGTGGCTGCTCCCTGGATTCCCAGCCTGTCCCAGCTCCCGCCCGCCAGCGCGATGGGAGCGACGCTCCCGGGAGCCTCTCTCTGCTGCTCCCTTTGATTCTCTGCCCTTGAAATCAGGCACAATGACTTCAAAGTGGGTCAGAGGGACAGCTGACATCAACACTGGCCCCAGCAAGGGGAGAGGGAGGGAATCTGGTACCAGGTTTTACTGTGGGGGGTTTGAAAGGGAGGCAGCTGTCGGGAGCCTCCTCCAGAGCCAGGGTGCCCTTTTCATCCAGTGACTTTGCTGGGTTTGTTTTGCCACCTGTGCCAGGGACAGGGTGACAATGTGCAGCCAAAGGGCTGGACACAGCCAGACCTGAGCCACCAGCAGTGGTGGTGGCCTCAGGTTTGCACAGGAACAGGTGAAGGATGGGCAGGAGTAGGGAGAGGGACCTTTCGTTCACTTATTTTCTCTTGTCACCATCCTTCAGCTTCTGGGGGAGTTTGAAAGGGAGTAAAATCAGGGGGTGCTGCCTTTGGCCCTTCCCTCTTTGTCTCCTGCTCTTTTGTGTGGTTTGGAGTGATGGGAAAACCTCTTTGCCAAGGTCTTGAAGCATGATTTGGGACCAGCTGTGCTTGGCAGCAAAACACAGGCTTCCAGAGGGATCTGCAGATTAATGCCTCACTTTCCTGAGCATCTGTTCCCACAACTAACTCACTTGTTTAGTGAGAATTTTGGAAAAGGACTTCAGTGATCTGGTCTGTGATCTCTAGAAGAGATCATCCCCATGGAAACATCTGTGTCCTCTCTGCATCCCTATATATTTTTACCCTCTTTTCTTCTATTTCTGTGGCCATCAAAAGCCTGTCCAAATCCTGGAGAACAGGCTGAGTTACTGGGTTCCATTAATGCTTATTAATTTGTGGGGCTGGAGACCAAAATGGGAAAACCCCCAGCAGCTTGACTTTCCTTCTCCTATAATCCCAAAAGAGCTTTTCCTGCCTTGTTCTCTGCATCTGTTTTTGCAGTGGAAGAGACAAGCCTGCAGCTCTCAACTGCTGTTTTCTCCCATTACGTTCCCAAATCTGTTGGTAGTTGAACAGGAGCAAAGCAGCTTCCATAGACAAAGCAGAAAACCTCAGCAAACCTTTTTTTCCCTCCAAACACACCATGGAACTCCTCATCCCAAGGTGTTCTGGAGAATCTCGGAGCTGGGGCTTCAGGACCCACCTCACCTTTCCATGGTCTGTGTGGACCATTAGGGTCTGCTGGGTGTTCAAAAGGTTCTGCTTCCAATGGGCATCCTGTCCTTGGCTGGATACACCCACAGGATGGAGCCACGTGCAGAAATCCCTGAATTCCATGCTGTGGAGGGAGCAGGGAATCCCCCAGGGGTCTGGAGCTGCAGCTCGGGCAGTGTTGGGTCATTTCTCTCTGCCAGGCACCCCCTGTGCTGAGAGGGGACCTCAGGTAGGCTCAGCCCTGCTGCAGAATTGCTTCCCCAGCCTTTAGTTGCACAGGTCAGGCCGTGCCCCAGCCGTCCCTGCCGCGGGAAGGCGGCGCTGGCGCGGAGCGATAAGGATGAAAAAGCAAACGTGGCCCAGGCTGTGCCTTGCTGGAGTGGAGACTGAAGATTGTCGGGCTCTGGTTTAATCTCCTTTCCTCTCCTTCACAGGCAGCTGAGCTGGGGATGGCATCTGCCTATTACACCTATATCTTCACTAATCTGGTAAGACGTCGCTCTCGGCTTCCCTCCCGCGCGCGTGCGGAGTCCCGGTAACGGGAGCTGATCCCCCTGGGAGCTGATCCCCCTGACCCGTGGGAAGAGCCACGTGCTCGGGGTGGGGAGGGAGGGGAGGCGAGGAGGGGAGTCCTCCTGCAAAGCTGAGCAGCAGTCAGGGGGAGGCTTGCCCTGGTCTTTGGGAGGTGAAGGCTGGTTGTTGCGGTGCAGCAGCCAAAGGCAGGGTTTGCAGACACTGGGACTGTGGTGCAGTGAGATGTGCAGGTCCTTGGGAAGCTCCAGCAGATGGGTTGCTCCTGAGCAAGGATTCAGAAGTGTCACCCCCTGACCCCATTCCCCATGCTGGCAAAAGTCCAGGCTGCTCTGGGAGGAGCATCCAGAGGGCATCACAGCCCTGTGCTTTCCTTCTGAGCCTCTGAGAGCTGCTCTGTGGGACAGAGGAAAGCTGAGCCCATCAATGTGGGTGTATCTCCAGCATGGGCCCTGGTTTGGCTTTATAGCTCCTAATAACGTTAATGGGGGGATGGTGTGGTTAAACCCCAGAGCACTGTGCTAAACAAGGAGTAATGGGCTTAGGCAGCAGCAGGGGGAAACCCAAAATAAGCATCAGAGGAACTTCTCCTGCTGCAGCAGTTGCCGTGTGGTGTGAGGGAAGTGCTACCAGGAGGCCACATACCTGCCTATTAGTGCTGGTGTGGGGCTGATGGAAACCTGAGATGGGCTGGAGGGTTGAGTGGAGGTGCCTCCCAGCCCCATATGATAGTCATATTCTCTAATTTCTATTAATATTTATGCCAGGGTGTGCCTGTGCCAGGAAAGCCGAGAGCTGAATCATGCTTTGTGTTTGGGTGGGAGACAGACGGGAAGGGATGGAGCCAAACGGGTGGGCAGGAGAGCTGGAGTGGAGAGGAGGAGGGGGAAAGGAGTGAAAAGGAGGGGTTGGAAAGCCAAGAGAGCAACTTGGCCAGAGAATGGAAAAGGGGATAGGGAGAATATAGAAAAAGCCACCAGATTGCTGCCTGAACAAAGAGGATTCTGGTTCCTGCTCAGTGTTTGATCTGTAGGTCCTTGCTGCACGTCAGCTCAGCAGGAACAAACTTCACTGATCCCGTTCATCCCCATGGGATGGATCAGCATTGGGCAGGACTGGAGAAGGAAGGGATGTACCTGGAGGGGGTCAGGCAGTGATGGAGACTGGGGGCTGTCATTTCTGCCCCCCCAGGCAGTGTCACTGTGCTGCTGCTGCTGGCAGGGCTGGTGAGGGACAGTGCCACCCCCGTCACATCCCGCCTCAACTCCAAACCATTCCAGTCATTTCCCGCTCCCAGGAAGTAGTTTTCCTGTTGCAAATGCTCCCACCAACTTTTTCTTCTTCCCCTTGCCCTCCCCTGGCAGTCAGAGTGCCACAGACTGTGCACACAGTGAGGGGTTTGTTTGCTCATCACCAGCACAGCGGAGTCTGTTCACAGATAACAGAAATAACTATTAAAATTAAGCTCCCCACCTCCACCCCCACACGAGTTGTGAGCAGGGGTGTGATTTAAGCATTTGCTTGAGGTGAAATTTCTCTTTGAAACCCATTCATCTCGTGTAACTCAGTTCTGGCAGGTGAGAAAGAAATGAGTTCTGTTACCATTCACTCTCACAAGATATTAATGTGTTTACCCGGGTTATTTCACCACTTTGTCCAAAAGACCAGCCCTTAGCAGAACTAACTGGATTTTTGGCAGGGACCGTTGCAGAAAGGTGACATCAGACAAAACCTGGGCAGATGGAAGAGATGTTTAAGGAAATTAGTAATATTTAAATGGGGATTGGAGATGGGAGTGAGCAATTTAGACTCATAAATCTGGGGGGATTATCAAGCTCCTAATGAACCCTCTGAGGTTTTGCAATCACTGCCTAATAGAAAAGATAAAATCACAGTGAACTGCTGTCAAGGGGAGCAACAAAAAGATGGCTTTAAATGAGGGGAGAACCATCAGAAGGGGAATAGACAGCCTGTGTAGCACTGAGCTGCTCGGAGATGGGAAAAATATTTCAGGCAAAAAGAAAAAAAAAGAGGAGAAAATAGGATAAAATGCTGAATTAAACACCTGCCCTGCAGCAGTCGAGGGGAATTCTGTTTCTGTCTTTTAGCATTAATTTTATTTAATAAGCACATCCCAGCCGACAGCTCGCGGTGTCTCAGCTCCGCTCTCTGCGGAGCTTTAGAGGGAGGGAAGTTGTTGTGGCTCCCACTGTACCGGGGCACAGGGGAGAGATTTTGGGATGATGGCCCCTCTGCTCCAGCCTGATGGCTGCAGATAGTGGCAGCAATGCTCTCCCAGCCCGATGGCAGGAGCAAACGGGGAGGAATTCCATGGGAGCCGAGGCGAGCAGCCCGATGGAAAAATATCCACAGGCTAATTTACTGCGTGCAAATTCATTATCAGGCTCCCTCAGCCAGCTCAGGGGACCCTTTTTTGTCAGCAGCAGAAGCTCAACAAATTTTCCAGGAGTTCCTAATGAAACTCAGAGAAGCAGAGCAGGTCTGGTGTGCATTTTGCTTCCCCGCATCCATCATCTCTGCACGGGGTCCCCGTGGCAGCCGAGCCCCCTCCTGTTCTCCACCCCCTGGCAGAAAATATCCATCTGATCCAAGTGTTTTCCTGGTATCTCCACACAGTGAGGAACTCTCTTGCTCTGGGAATTGCCCTTCTGGGAGGGAATTTCCTGAGGAGGTGCTGAGCTGGGCTCAGAACTCCTCATTGTCCCTTCCCTGCTCCCTGGCAGGGCACAGGTTGGCTGGGGATCCACAGGGCTTGTGGCCATGTAAGGGGGTAATGGTGTGCATAATAATAATAATAATAATATAATAATAATAATAATAGTAGTAGTAGTAGTAGTAGTACCTAAATAAACCATTGTAAATGGCCTGCTGTGCATTGAAGAAAACCTTCCTTCCAGCATTGGAAATCCCTGAAATCAGCAGCCCAGAGTAGGAGGGGTGTTTGATGCCTCCAAAATCCCGTGCTACAATTAATTCTTTCAGCTTGTTAATTCCGTGCAGCTTGTTGAGTTTGTCTTTTTTTTTTTCTTCTCCCCTCTCTGTTTGCATTTATTTTTTTTTTAATAACATACGGACCTCAGGCTGGGTTTAAGTTTCAAAACATTTATCAAGGAGATTAGATGGAAATAATGGAAACAATTAAAATTATTACTGTCAGAAGGAAGGTGTAGAGGAGTTTTACTAGTGCCTTAAGTCAGGCAGGCTATTCACTGGATGCAGTTTTTTCCCTGACAATATTGTGTGCAGGTGCTGTTGCTGATAAAACAGCTGCTGTGCTCAATTCCCAGAGACCAGATAAATCAGTTTGGGGCTTTTCTTTTTTGTTTGTGTCTTACTTCTTCTTTGTTTAGTGATTTATAAAGAGGTCTTCATGCAGGAGGAGGGTTTCAAAGCTGAATTGTCGCTCTGGGTGCCTCGTTGGAACTGGAGGGGAAAGGAGTGTCCAGATCCCCCAGACAATGTCACACGTCTCAGTGACAGCTTGTCATCACAGTGACATCCCTTGGAAGCAAGTAGTGATGCCAAGTAAAGCAGAAGGGGCAGTGAACTACAGATTAGTGTCTGACCAGGGCTGTGGAGCTTAGGTTTTTAGTCCTGCTTTGTGAAATCAGCTTTTTTTTTTTGGTGAAATAACCTTGTTTTTCTGTGTCTGGTTCTGCACCCTGAGCCCCAGTGGTGTTTGGCTTTGCTGCACCAGCTCTGGGCACCTTCACTCTTCCTCCAGGTGAGGAAGGCAGATTCCTCTCGTTATTCTTTGACAAATCTTCCCTTGCAGCCCAGCCAGCCTTCCTGTTCCCCAGCAGCTGATACAAACCGTTCTGTAGAGCCCCTATCACGCCCTGGATTTATGGTTCATGTTTTCCGTGGCATGTGGTAGCAGGGCAAACAAATCAGGTTTTTGCAAGGCTGCCAAAGCCATTTCTCCTCACCCTGGTTAGCACGAGAACAGGAGCATTTTGACAAAGAATAACTGCACCTCCCTGGCTTTCTCTGCCTGTGCTGCCTCACCTTGTCCCAGTCTGTTTGTGCTGTTCAGAGTCCACCCTGTGCTGGATTTCCAGTTGTTCAGTAAATCAGGTACCCCCAGATGTGAGAGCAAACCTCCCTCTTTCCCTGTGCCCTCACGCTTTCTTGCCCTGCTTGTCTTTCAGGCTTCCTACCCCTCATTTTTCCAAGAGCTGTGTTTTTTCAGGTCCCAACATCAGCACTTGACCTCTTTTCCCCCCCTGAGGGTTTGCTGCTCTCCAAACCTCGGGCTCCCTGCAGAGAAGTTGCAGACAAGTGCTTTCACTAAGGATGTATTTTCCTAAAGTGCCATCGTTTGAAGAACAGCCTCCCAAATTTAATAGCTCTCCTTGCATGAGGAGGTTAAGGACCCATCCTTACATGGCACATTGATGCTTTTGTGATGTGTCAACTTTGTAAGAGCAATCAAATTTTATATATATAAATATATATATATATATATATGTGTGTATGTGTATGGTTCCCCTAAATTGTCCCTTAGCTCACAGTTTCCCTTTTACTACATAAATGGCCAAGTAACAGTGCCTTGAGTAGATCTACCACATCCACTTACCTCCTCAAAAGGCCACAATTTGTTGCTCTGATGACTTTTTTTTTTCTTTTTTGCTTCCACGGGAATTGATTTTTACATGTGGCCCATTATGAACTTATTGACTCTGTCAATAGTTTATAAATAAATTGAGCCTTTCAAGAAAGCCATAAAGCACTTAACATAATATTGTCCACTTGAGTAAATAAATAAATGTGTTGCTGGAGCTTTGGAATGATTAACAGACTTGGCAGCTCAGCTCTGAGGGCAACAGGATCCAGAGAGGCACATCCAACAGAGGAAGTTTGGTGATCCTGGGGGGGAATTGGTCAGTGGGACCATTGCAGGGTTGGTGTCTGAGTGGTGTAAGGAGCTGGGAGT